AGTGTACACTTGTTTGGAGGTTATAAAAAGGGATTGTAGAAAAGAGTTCAATTTTTCAAAATGCCAATTAAAAATGGGGATATGCATATGGGGGGACGATGCATATGTGTGCGCCAAGCAGTATGTGCCATGTGCTACTTACGTACGCACTCTGTGTGTCACATGTATAATGTATGTTGGGCTTGACGAAAGATGAACAGAAAAAAAATAACCCGCACAACACGTTGGCATGCGCTTGGAGAGTATGAAAGGGGAAAGGAATATTTCCTCATTTAACAGCGTCTGACGGAACGGTCTCCTCTTTCCTGGAGTTCCCCTTTCTTGATCAGGATAGCCAAAGCCCTGCGCAGTTCAAAAAAAAAAAAGGGGGGAAAGAAAGGACATAACGGGGTGAAATTTCTCCATGGGGCATGCTCATGTGTACATATATATATATATACACACGTGTGTCGCTTCTCAGTTTTTTCGTGGGGCTAATGTCCACCGCTCGGCATTTATCCCCCCCTGGTTCCGCTTTCATTACTTGGATAAAGCTGATCGGTCGAATCCTCTTAGCTGAAGCTCTCTGAATAAATTCACCCGCGAGGCCCTTTGCCCCTTTCCGAGTCGTCCCAGTATGGCATCCTCCGCTTGCTAAAAGGGGGGTGAAGGAAAAAAGGGAAAGTTGTTTCACAATGGTATCTGCAACAGTTCGTACAACTGCTGCACTGCACTTGTGAAAAGGCGAACCGCACATATATACTCCTTTGCGCGAACCTTTACGGCTTTTTGCTCCAAGGGGGACATGGTTTCGAAAATGAGACACTGCTTTGCCGTTTCGGCGGTGGAGGCTGAGAAGAGGTCTATAGACATCTGCACGTGCTTCTCCGTGGCGAATTGGGAAAGCTCCATTTTAGCAAAGCTGCAGGGGTGAGGGTGGTGGTTCGATAATGAAGCGCGGATTAAAGAAGTGAAAGCGCAACGTATGGCACGCACGCGGTGGGCGACATACGCGCCCAGCTGATGTGCACATATATATTTGCACATCGACGGGGTACTCTCACGAATGCTATGTCTCTAACCTCTCCGCCAACCGAATGAGCGATTCGAGCTGACGCAAGGTGATGGGAATTTTCTTCGTGACGGAACGTCTATCTCCCCGATATTCCGCTCTCGTCTGGACGTAGAAATTGCGCAGAGAGTCCCTGGCCTCTTTAGACAACAGAGGGGCGATTTCCTTCTTGGCGTACTGAATAAATCTAGTCAGCTTAGAGAGAGGAATTTCCCCTTCCTGCGACTTATGCTTTGAAGCATGCAAGGCGACAATATGGTTACAAAGAAGGGTATCCTTTTCAATGTCCTGTTTATTACGTAATAAAAATATAATATCAAACCTGGACAAAATGGTGGTCTTAAAATCATGCTGATCTGTAGTGTCTTGAGAATCATCATATGATCCAAAGGACGGGTTCGCTGCAGCAATCACAGAACATCTGCTATTCAACATGGTAGTAATTCCTGCTTTAGAAATGGATATGGTTTGTTGTTCCATAGCTTCATGTATAGCCACCACATCATCATCTCTCATTTTATCAAATTCGTCAATGCATACAACTCCTCCATCTGCCAAAACCATAGCTCCACCTTCTAAGGAGAACACCCCCTGACTGTCTCTCATCACAGCTGCAGTTAATCCTGCTGCGCTGCTACCCTTTCCAGATGTATAGACCGAAACAGGGGCACATCTATTTACAAATTTTAAAATTTGAGATTTGGCAACTGAAGGATCTCCAAGCATGAGCATATTGATGTCTCCTCGTATTTTTGTTTCTTCTCCAATTCGCTTCCTTGTACCTCCAAAGAGTAAACAAGCACAAGCTTTCTTTACTTCGTCCATTCCATACAACTCTGGTGCTATAGATTTAAATATTTTATCATGTATATCATGTTCAGCTGCAAGTAGGGTTAATTCATTTCTTTCTTCCACATCAAAATTTAAATCATTTCCAGTCATGTCGTCATACTTTTGAAAGCCTAAGACATGTAGGTAGGAAAAGTTGGTTCCATCTGCTCTAGTAGGTTTAGGGTTCGGATTATATGAAGTGAGAACCCCATGAACATATACTCGATCCCCAGGAATCATTTTTTCACATAAATATCTTGTAGCATTTAATTGTAAATGTCTTGGCATATCTCCTGTTGGAACAGCTTCTGGTAATTCTTGCATCTTCAAAGATTGTATGTCCACAAATGTACACTCATTTGGTAAAATGACATATGGCTCCAGTACACCATTGCATCCTAGCTGATTGTCCATCGGGTTTGCAACTCCCATGGAAGACTTCATAGTGGAGGAGTATCTACAATAAGGTGGCAACTGAGGTTTATCTTTCCACAACGGAACATCAATGGACATTTTATGATCACAATATCTGCACTGTAAAGTAATTTTCCTCATCTTATGTTGTGGTTTACTTGCCTGTACAATAATTCCTGGTACCACGACAAACCTTTCCTGAGTAGCTGCTAGCAGACCCCTAATCGGTGTGGGCCTAATAAAAGTATTCAACAAATTTATTTGAATATAATTCAAGTGCTCATCTTCATCATTTAATATATTAGCCGTTTCGCACACTTCGTAACACACACGCTCAACAGTAGGCAAATATGTTAGTGGTCTTTCAGACAGAGCCCTAGCCAAAATCGCAGAATAATTCTCTGGTTTTTTCATTTTCCTCTCTGAAATGGGAGTTGCACTTATTTCATTATTTTCGAAAACCGTCTGCTGTTTGTATATATCATCCAATTTTAAATCGAGGGTGAAATTATTATTTTTCACATTTTCGAAAAGCGTCCTCTTTAAATTTCCTTCTTTCAGTGTGTTCGATGAATACCTAGAGAGAAAGTCCTGGAAATAATTATACACTTCGTTCAGGCTGGGTAGGTTGTCCTCAATGCGGATGTTATTTTCTGGTCTGTTGTTGGGGTTCCTTGCGGCATTGAAAAATGCCCGGCCTTCTTGTATTCCCAGCATATTTCTCTACGCTATGTGTAATATGTGTACGGGTTTTTTTTGCCAAAATTGCTCTCCAAATTGTTCTCCAGGATATTCCAGATGGGGCAGTCCAAGAGGTATGCCAGCGTCTTCTCCAAATTTGGAAGGTTGCCCTTTCGTGCGCTTTGTCCTTTTCCTCACACGTGCAACAATTGTTCCAAATTTCCCTATCCGCCTTTTTTCCCCTCTTCAAGAAGCGTGTACCCTATGGCTACCCGCAAATACGTACGTCTGAGTGATTATTTTTTTTTTTTTTTTTTTTTGCCTTTCCGTAAAACGAGTTGGAGAGGTACCTCCTCACTGCTTGCAAGTGCTTGCCCTTCTGTCGCGACGCAGCGTTGGTCGTTCCCCGATCTGCATACTGTACTTTTCAAAGGGAAAAAATATATATATATGTATATGAACACTGTTCAGGCGTTTTTTTTTTCATATTTTTTATTTTGCCCCCTTGTGTGTGTGTAAATTATTTCATCTTCTTTGCGCGGATGAGTTCATGCAGTGTGTTAAACCTACCCGAAGTAAGGTGCCTCCTCTGCTACGGAAACTTCCCAAAAGGAATGATCCTATGAGGGGTGGGGAAAATGCAAAATCTTCTCTCCTAGTGGACAATATGCTTTGAACAGATGGACACTCACCTAGACTGTGTCAGCAACGGCAGTGCCAAAACAGGATGCTTCTCACATGCCATGCAATAGAAAAAAAAAAAAAAAAAACAGGACGAATGGTGCAATCTCCTTCGAATTGGTCTCTTGCACAAATGTAATACAAAATTGGCTTCCTTTTCATTCAATATAATCTATTCTTTTTTGCAGTGCCCTTTACTGCCACTCTTTTTTTTTTTTTTTTTTCCTTAGCCACATGGCTCATTATTCCAATGTATAAACAAGAGCCTTACATATATGTGTCAATTCGAATGTGCAAAGGTGGGGGGGAATAAAGAAAAAAAAATTCGAAAAATATATCCCCATATTGCGCATACGGCACACCCTTTGCGCAAAATTTTTTTTTTTTTTTTTTTTGCTTATTATGTAATGGCAAATTTTGAACGCTCAAAAATGATTTGCACCGTGTAAGCGAAGACAAAATGAGGATGCAAAAGCAGGAAAGGAAGAGTGCGGGCGCGGTGGTCTGGTTTAAGGTTTATTAATTCTCTTTTTTCCTTATTTCAGAAATGTATTACTCGTACGCACAAGGGGAAACAAATGAATAACTATGACATACTAATCGCTGGTGGTGAAAGAAGCGAAGAAAAATGCATTTTTTCCCATTTGCAAATGTGTGAGGTGTAAAAGTATGCTGCGTACATTTGTGCATGTGATGTAAAGGGGTGAAAGCCTTGTGGCACACCTTTTCTCCCACAGGGGGACTAATTTCCGAGCCATGGAATTGTTCCAGTTTTGGTGTATCGCCCGAGTGTATATCTCTCTCAAAAAGGCGTTTAAAAGTTATATGCTAAATCAATTTTGCACAATGTGTGCATTTCGGAGGATACTGTGTGTCTTAATTATGGCGGATATTTTTAAAAGAGCGTTTTCCCAATCGACAATCGCAGTTTGCCAAACGTATGCTTATATCAACATAGGTACAAGCGCCATTGTGACAACGGTCAAATGAGAGCGCGTAGTTGGGCACAGAAACAACAAAATGCACTGTAAATGGCTGCCAATTTATCGTACACATAAAAATTATAAAGGCGGAGTCGTATGCATAATCACAGCACTGTGCATGCAAATATACAAAAATGGCACTTTCATATGACCAACGGAATGATTCATTTAACATTAAAGCGTGTGACAAAAAAAACGAAAAAAAAAGAAAAGAAAAGAAACAAGTTGACAGGGGACAATTAAAATGACGGTATGCCAATGTGGCAACTTCAATAAAACGTGTAAAACGAAATGGACGGGAAAAAAAAAAAGGGCATCCAACTAGGTACAAACGACAAAAAAGAAGAAAGAAAAATAACTCAGTTAATCCTTTTGGAGAGCTCCACTTCCAACAGGTCTAATCGTCGCCTGATCCGGCGTGTTCTTGAGAGAAAGAACTTTATTTTGTAAATGTAAACTCTTCTCTTCCAATAATTCTGTATGATTTCATTTTGGTTATAACATCCCCGCTGTGAACAAGAGAAGAATGAGAAATGGAAATGAGGGAGCAGTGAAAAAGTGGGGGTATACACTACATTACATATGTGTAAAGTAAATAAAATGAACACGTCAGTTTTGTTCCCCAATGGGAAAAACATCATTCCACACGCTATTCCCGCGCGCAGGGAATGGTACTGATCTGTTTCTTTTTTTCGTTCTGTTTTTTCCATCCCCTGTTCTCCGGGGACCTTCAAATTTACCTTAAAAATATGGGATAACTTCGTACTCAGGCAGCTGGGACAGATCCACTTACGGTCCGACTTCTCCTCCTCTGCTGTCTCTTTGGAGCATAAGCAGTAGGAATGCCATCCCTGAGTGCAACCAAAAAAATCACACATGATTAATTCCCCTCCATTCACGCACTTATAACACAAAACATCATGCTTGTAAAACATCAAGTGGTATGTGTAGTCGCACAACAACTGAATGATCACACTCGAGTCAATAAAAGAGTGGTGAGTATCATATTTTGTTTGTTTTATTATATATTTCAAAAGATAACAAAAAAAAAAGAGAATTCCTGTACAGTTTAATTTAATTCTTTGATATTTATTTATGTATGTGATATTTTCCTCTACACCTTTCTCTGATGTGAACTTTTGACTTAAGAAATATTTCAAGTATATATTCAGTTCTCTTATTTTCCTATTTTGAGCATACATGTGATTTATTTTCTCTTTTTTCATTGTAGCTAGCTGTATGTGTGCATTTTCTTTTTCTGTGTTTTTTTCTGAACTGATCATAGTTTTTTCGTATATGTTATGCCCCTCGGTCATTTTTTGTTCTTTTTTACATGAACCGTTCAGGCTGTCTTCACCAATTTGTATAACCTCCCCAGTGTTAGGCGATACGGCGTGGGATAAAATCTCATCATGTGTTCCACAACTTGCATGTTTATATCCACTGTACGTCCAGCACCTTGTCTGTTCGGGCAAAATACGACTTTTTACACTTTCGCATTTTTTCTCTTCACTCATTTGCGCATTTCGCTGATATGTTGTTTTTTCATTTAAAAAGGGGAAGACCGAACCAGCACTTGGCGGCACATTGCTCCATTCGAAATGGTCCATAAGTACATCCTTCGCCTCTTCAATTTTCGCAAGTAGTTCCCCCTGTACAATATTTCTAAAGTGCTGGTATTTGCTCAACACGGATGATAAATATCGGGAGAGCATAAATTTCGATTTCAAAAAAACAGGTGCTATGATTTCTTTTTTTATCGAATTTAATTCATTTCCGTTGTGATTGTGGAAAATCACGTCATTCAATTTGATTATGTATTTGTCCACGTATAGGCTGAACTCGTCGTAGTTGCTCAGAGATGTGCACAGTGCGCTCCTGTCGTGTGTGTATTGCAGACGTTCGGGGCGGATGCGTGCCCCAGTTAAGCGATTTCCTGGAGTTAAATTGGCTTGCCAAGGGACCAGCCATTTGCGGGATAAATCTTCGGCGAAGTCCCCATTCCACGGTGGGGACTCAACCTTGTGATTAAGCATACCTGTACCGGTTTGCCCTACAGGTATGCCATCTCCCTCTACGTTCCTCTGCTTCTCCCTGACTCTTCCTGTCGTTTCCTCCACATCATCAGATTTGGAAATGGCGTCAGCCTTCAGATGGTCGAAAAATTTGAGAACTTTTTTTAGTGAGTAGGACAAAAAGTCGTGTTCCCCCTTGAGGAGAGACAAAGGGATGTGAGAAATGTTCGCCACGTCGTCATCCTCCGAAGAGCTCTCATAATCAGTGAGCGCTTCATCACTTCCATCCGTAATGTAAAAGCCAAGTAAGTTATTTGTTATCTTGGGCAAAGGTATGTTGGTAAATGGGCAGGTATTTTGTGGGAAGAAAAAAACATCCGTATTGTAGGACTTGGTGTCGGTGCTTCTCAACTTCAATCCAATGTGTGCAATATCTTCAGCTGCCCGTATGCCTGTGTCGTAAGCTCCGTCTATACACTGGAAATAACTTTTGGACAAGTACTCCCCACAGAAGACGACCTTAGGATTATGAATCGGGTGCGGAGCCCTCAAGTAAATTAAATCATTATCAGTGCAGTTGACATGGGGATAGGTATACGAACCAAAGGAGAAATTATCATCTTGCCATTTGGTAATTAAGTAATCAACGAGGATGGGTAGTTTTTTTCCAGTATTCTCGAACATCTTATGTAAAGTGTACAAACATTCGTTTACTATATAATGTTCCTTTTTAATATACCCATAGGTGCATGACCAGGGAGGAAAACAGTGTACTAAAATGCAGCCAATTTTTCCATAGGCATGCAAATTGAGGAACTGAAATTTCTGGTCTATACAATTTAGCTGTAAGCTATCAAATGGCCAATCAAAATCAAATGGATAAAATCGTAAAATTATTTTGTTGTGGTTCCCCATTCTGTAATTATTCAATGCTTTAATTTTGAGTGGGTGTAACTTGGGCTCAAATTGCACATAAGATTTTTTTTTCTTTTTTTTTTTCTCATTATTTGTTAAACACCCAAGTGGTAAGGCAACAATGACATACTTGGCAAAGATATTTACATTGGCATAGTTGCAATTGGTGAGATCGGACGTCCCATGGAAATGTTTGTTGATTTGTTTCTTCGAGGTATCGTAGGTTTTGCACTGCACCATGACGTTGTAGTTTTCTTGGGTTTCCCCTGGTAGACACCGATTTCGCAGTACATGGACGCCTTGGCGGGGCTCTCCGCCGCTTCTGCTTTCGTAATCCCTTTTGAGGGTCCCATTTTTGTGTGCGTTGTGGGAAAAGTGAATCCCCTTGCCGTCCTGCACTGCACCCTCACAAAAGACATCACCATTTAGGTCGTTTCTATTCAAGTCCTTTACATAATGCGGGGAGTTGTTCATGCAGGTTCCAGGTTGGGGGCCCCCACCTGGAGGGAACTCTCCCGGTGTGTTAATCAATGAAGGATCACCCTGCTGATCAGAATCATGAACAAATGCAGAGTTGTTTTGCCAAAATGTACGTTCCTCCTTTATGTGAACCACTTCAGCCACTGTGTTGAGGAGAATTTTGTCCTGTACATCTTCAGACAAAAAATTTATGAGCCACTTCCACCCGTCTAGGACTATCTGATCGGCACTAGTGCTATCCTTAAAACTGGCAACATGAGGCATCTGCTCACATTTTCTAATTTTATTGTAGTATTTTAAATTTTTTAAAATATAATCATTGGTACCATAGTTTTCACACACGTCAATATCCATGTAGGTGGACAATGGAAGTCTACACATGGCTATGGATGTCTCCCTTAAATCACTTCCATAGCCATACCTCGACTGTAGCATGACCATTAATATTTTCCACTCCTCTAGGGACAAGTTATCCTGGTGGATATTCATTTCTTCAAGTATCTCTTGTGTACATTCGATTAACAGATCCCACATGCTTCTCCGTTGTTTGTTTTCCTTAAAGAGAAATGTTTTGTTTATGTCTTTTTTATCACTTTGCACGATTGATTGAGTTGCCTTTCTCACAATGCGATAATATTCCTCTCCATAATCGTAGTAGTTTTCATAAATGATTGAATCTTTGTCGTAGTTATCCACTCCGCTTCCAGTCCACGTCCTCCTCTTGTTCGATCTGCAATCACCCGTCACCTTCATTTGCTTCACCCTTTGTTCTTCCCCAATGTGCGTACTGGTAAGTTGCGACGTGATGCTTCCTTCTGTGGAATTCTGTTTCTCCCCACTACACGGCTCACACGATTTATGCACCTCTGCTATCTGCTCTTTCCCCTTTACTGTATACCCACCTTGCGCCCCTTTTCCCACCTGCACGGAGCCCGAGTGGTACTCTTTGTCCTTTCCCAAATGATGGGTTGCTCCTTGTGCGAAATTCATACATGACGGAAAATTATCGACGGTTGGATCATCCCCATTATTATTTATGAAGAGAGATGCTCTAATCTTCCTGGCAGCTCTAACCCTAATTTTATCACACAGTAAATTCATCCTATATATTTTAAAGCTCTTAATTTGTTTTCCATTTTCGTTATTATACCAATAAGCATAGAAGGTGGATTCCCAGTTGTCCTTTCCACAGACCAAAGAAATTTGGGGTTTCAATTTAGTTGCCAGTTGAGTTACGGACTTGTCATAGGCTCTTCTCCTTCTTGCATCTTTATTGACGGAGAGTATTTTAAATTTTTTATTTTCACTTTTCGACCATTGCTGTGGTCCACTAACGAGTGAGCTTTGTATATCTCCGCAGGGGGAGTGGACAGAGGAAGAGAAAGAATCGTCACTGAGGCAGCTGTCACTCAGGTAGGTATAGAGATACACATTTTCATCCATGTCTTTTAAAAAATTTAATAAATCTTTTTTCGTTTTTTTCCAACCCCTTTGTCTGTATATGTAACTGTACAGGTGGCATATATTGTCAATGTTGTACTTCACCATGAAAAGGATATTTTTTCTGATTTTTTTTTTTTTTTCCTTTTTTTGTTTTCTTGATTGGAAGTAGTTGCAGTCGCTGTATGAGTGATGCGCGTCGTCGTCTTCGCCTGGGCGTTGAGTGCATCTCTCCCCGAGCCTGCTTCCATCTTGTTGTAGGGAGTGCGTCTCCCCTATATGATCATTGCCTTGCTGGTTGGCCTTCCCATGCAGGGGAATCTGCCCAAACCGTGCCATCAACTGCTCATACTTCTGCCTGAACAAGAGCACATTATTTGACAAGCACTTCTCCATTTGGTCTATATTATTTGGGTCGAGAAAATGCAACTGCTTCTCATCAGGGGGAACTCTACATTTCACCCTCTTGCTATTTCCTGTAAAAAATTTTTTTCTCCTTTTTTTCTTACTCTTCCCATTTGTCCCTTTATCAGTACCCATGGACACTGTCTCCTTTTTTGTGGAGCAGAACCGTTCGTTTATTCTTTCCCCCTCATTTGAATGCACGTTATTCTCCGTCGGTATGTCTTCATTTTCGCAACAGTGCATATAATTAGCACCTAAATCTACCACCGTTTCTGGGAGCAAGTTGTTATTTATTATTCGCTCAGGGAGAATGGTGGAGTAGGCTCTTCCTCCAATTCGATTCCTTCCTTCAATGACTAATACATCTGCATTACATTTGTTTAGGTAGTAGGAGGCAGCGAGTCCAGAGATACCTGACCCGATGATGAGAACATCAACATATAGGTTCTGCTGGTTACGTAAAATCGGGTAAGCGTCTACTCCTCGGTTGATTATATCTACTGGTTTGACCTGACCGAACAGGGAGATTTTTTTCCTTTTTTTGTTCTTAACATGACTCTCACTCTTGTTCCCACGGTCGTCCGGGTCATCACCGCCACCTCCATCACCATTCTTCTTGCTGCTGCCGGTCTTCCCGCCATGCTTGCTCGAAATGACTGCATTCGCCTTCTTCTCATCAGATATCACATTGTTAGGAATCGGTATGGCGCTTCCCCTTTGAGCTCTGCCGCACGACTTGTCCTCTCCTCTTACGTAATTTTCCTGAGAAGAGAAATGCCTGAACATGGGGGCGTCCCCTTGAGCTGCTCCCTCCGCTGCGCTCTCCCCATGGACGCTCCTCACCACATCACCCTTCTCGTGCAGCTGGCCAACTTGGGAAGAGACACATTTCCCCTTTTGAATTTTTTTTTCTTCACTGCATGGATCAGCTGCACCGCTCTTCCTGCTTCCCCTCGGTGCGCCGTGACAGACAGCACCATTGGGGGATTCGAAGTCTGATGAGGAGGGGCGTCTGGAGGAGGTGCTCTCTGAGGAGCGTTTGGATGAAGGAGCCTTTGTAGATGAATCACGCAAAGAGCTGCCGTCCAAAGTGACATCTAGCAATTCCTTGCCCAACGACAGGGTGTGCGAAGATGTGGTATGTTTTAAATCCTTCTGCATCGAGGCAGATTCTTCGGCCAGCTCATCCGGCATGTCCTTATCATTGGACACCTCGCGGGTGGCATTACCATGGGAGAGCTCTTCCCAGGCAGCAACACCCCTCATATGTGTGCCGAGAACAGAAGTGTCACCGCGAGGTGTACCTCGAACAGGCTCACCATCTATCCATTCCCCCTGGACAGCGGCATCACCCATCGTTTTGCTACCAACAGGTGCATCATGCAGGGAGTTCTGCCGAGCGGGTGTCTTATCCCTAAGAGAACAACTTACAGAAGTATAACGAAACGGTTTCCCCTTGACGGCCGAGCCCTCCCCAGGGGTCACCTTCGCGGAGGAATCTCGTGTACCTACCCACCTCGACAGCATGCACTTGCACACTAGGGTAATATTTTCGTCCCCAAAAAAAAACAAAAAAACAAAAAAGCCACTCAAAATGGGGGGAGTGGTAGGACGGAAAAAAAAAGTTGTATATGGACTAGACTAGACTAGACTACACTAGACTAAGCTAGACTACCCGTAAATGCTATACACACCGGGGTGTTCATAGGGCGGAGGGCACTGTAACACAACAAGACTGTATTACAGAGCCAATCGTCTGATTTATACTAAATGGTGGGTAAAAAAAAAAAAAAAAAAAAAAAAATTATAACTCGCCAAAAATATTTTTATAAACTCATGTGCAATGGCACGTACGGAATGATGGTAATTCTAAAGGATTAATATGATGTGTAAATAAAAAAAAAAAAAAGCCATGGTCAAATGTACATGATATGTTAAAGGATAAATACTCCATTATGTGAACAATAAGAGCTTGCATATCATGGAGGTGTTATTTTAGTCCTTCCTTCTGTTGTGCATTTTAATTGCAAAAGGGGGAGGGATGTACACAGATATACGGTGAGATGGCAGGGAGAAAGCAAGCCCATCCTAATCCCACCGCATTAGAAGAAATGGAATCAGATGCACTCTGTGGTAGTCGCAGTGCCCAGAATGGGGGGCAAGAAATGCTACTAGAGAGCCGCGCATCATAAGTGGAGAGGCACGCATTTGTACCCATCTGTGGAAAAGTTTGCGGAGGGATAAAACGGTTGGCGACGAACCTTTAGCAGTTCCTCGTGGGGAAAAAAAAAAAAAAATGACCAAGTGAGGGCACACAGTGGGGAGATACAGATAACACACCCTGATGCCCCAAGGGGAAGGAAGAATCTAGGACTCCTGCTGAACGAACGCATACCCATTTGTACGTCGTGATTGCCAAAGGGGGGGGGCCCAAATAACGTGGAGAAATCCCTACCATGCACAAAATAGTAGTGGTACCAAGCAGCACGAAGTTATATGGTTAGGCCCAGCGGGAATATGCTTTAAGGCTAAATCCGCCCCGCTGGGGCCACCCTCACTCCGTTGCACGTGGGCACATTCCATCCATCTGTGTAACAATAAGGTCAACTGGGGCAACACCACTCCACTGCCTTCCTACCCACCGGGTGGAAAAATGGCCCCTACCACGAAGCTGCTTTTGCAGGGTGTCCTGCCCATTATGTGGGTGCCAGGGGGGCGCACTGCGCTTGCGACAGGAGGTATATCCCCCCGCTGCAGCAGACTCCACAGTGGAAGCAGGAATGTGAAGCAGGTCCAGTCGAATGGCGAGGACAAGTCACGTAGTCCATCTAACCTGGAAGATATAAAAGTCTCCAAAGAAACTTCCAGCAACGCGCTATTCGATGAGTGCTTAGAACAAATATATAAGAAGAAGAGGCAGGTTGACAAAAACAGTGTTGAGTATGATGTCTCTCCAGTCATAGAAGAACTCAGCAAAGAAGAAATAAAATTAACGAGAGCCATATTTAGGAGAATTGACGGGGGGAAAAAAAACATATCCCATTTGAGTTATAAAGATATATATATAGATCCATATTGGAATCCCTTCAAAGAAGTGAGCGACATAAGGAGGGAAATCGTTTTTGAATTTAGTGAGTACACCAAAGTGGCTACCATGGTGGAAGTGAAAAAGCAAAGGCGCTCTATTAAGAGGTCCCTTAAGGAGCAATACAGATTGTATAACCCCTACTCAGCAGAGTATAGTGCCCACATCGGATTGGACAAAGACTCGGGTGCTGGGGAGTCAGTCGTTTGTAATGACAAAAGTGAAAAGTACTGGAACCCAGGAGTTGATAGAAAAAAATTACTGAACTTGAAGAGCCCCTTTATATGGAGACACACTCATTTGCTGCACCACTTCATTGGAGAAAATGGTCTAATTTTGCCACGTAAAATTAATTTTACCACGAGGAAGCAGCAAATTCAAATTTTTAAAGCCATTTGTGTAGCGCGTAGGATGGCCCTCTACCCTTATGATAGAAAGCCTGAGAAGGACGATCTAATCCCCTTGATGGATCCCCTGCAGCTGCTTGCGGATGAGCTGATTCATCGCTATGTTGAAAGGAACGACTTGCGAGCTCAGGCCATGCTCAAGGTCATGATCAACAAGTACCCGTCTTTAAACTATTACAAGTATTTCTGTCATGAGTCCGGGGAGAAGCAGCGGGGAGGGACGCAAGAGGGAGACGCACAAACGGGGGAAGCACAACTAGGGGAAGAGCAACATAGGGGAGGATGTCCGAGTGACTCCCATATCGACAAGATGCTACGCAAGTATAAGCAAAACTACTATCAGGAAGCAATGTCTCCACAAGGGCACACGAAACAGTAAACTCACCATGGAAGCCCTACCTTTAAAGGGATACCCACATGGGTGCATGTGCTGCTCGCTTTTTTTTTTAATGCAAAACAGATATTGGGCACGCACACCGGGTGGCAATGCAGAGTAGGCAATAAAAAGGGAGAGAGGGGTAATTTCCTACAAGCGGTCTTTCCTCCACTTTTTTTTTTTTTCTTTTTAAACCCCTCCCCACAATTTGTCTCAACAAATATTTTTTCCAAAATGGATTTTCCCTGCACGAGCGCAGTGACACATTGGAGGCATCTGAGGAATTACTCACTTCAGTGGTGTCCTCGTTCTTCACCCGATACACTCCTTCACTCCACCGAACGTGCAACTGGGAAGATAACAACACCGAGAGGGGAGAAGCAACGAGCAAGCTTTGTCACCCCCTCAGCTAGCCATGTTACATTTTTTTTTTTTTTTTTTTTTTGCATCATTTGCTTGTAGAACATGTCAAAGTGTAAAGTAACGTTTTACATTTTCGCATTTCGCGTTTAATTATTGTAACGTTTTGAATAAAAAAAAAAAATGTTTTATTTCGTGGTGGGTGTATACATATATGTACGCAACCGTTTAGAAACAGAAAAGGAAACATATACACGTATCTGCCCGCCTGTGTGTGTGTTCATTTATATACAATGCATGCACACCTGCGCGCACTCACACCATGGTGAAGGTAAAATCCACGTCATTAAAATGAAAAAAAAAAAAAAAAAATTGATAATGGGAAAAGAGCACAATTCGTACGTGTTTTTCTTCCCTTATCGCCATGAAGAAATGAAAAAAAAAAGGGAGTAACGTCACGGGACCTACATACAAGGAACAACTCTCCGCGTGTGCTCATATGTAAACATGTCTAACTCGTGTAACTCTTTTGGTGAATTGGTCTAACATACAAGTAGGGAACCCTCGCGATGTATAGATGGTACACATATGCATTTAAAAAAAAGAAAAAAGAAAAAAGGCTATTTACCTTTAACATAGTACAATGTGTAGGTTAATATGCCCGCCGTCTACGCTTGTCCACTCATTCGACGCCATTACACTTCTACATGGGGAGGCGCTCGCACAAGTATGTACATAAGCACTAATATATATATATATATATATATATATATATATATATATATATATATACATATATATATACACAACATCACACTGACGAGCTTGCAACAAATTTTTGTGCAGCTGGGCTCGCCTCCACATGACATAACATGAAACCATGCTATGAAAAAAAATGAAGGGGCAAATTAAAAAATAAAAAAAACATGCAAAGAATGGTGTGGGAAAAAAAAAAAAAAAAGGAAGGAAAGAAAAGTGATCGCTAAAAAATGTGCAATGCGTGATGTATAATAAATCAACATGTAAAAACATTAGCGCGCTCTTCTTTACTGTGTTTTTTTTTATTCTTTTTTTTTTTTTTTTCAAATTTAGAGTAGTAGGTATAGCATTTCGGAAAAGGAGCTTTGATGTGTAATTTGGACACGTGGCTAATTATGGGTAGGCCGTCTCTGATAATTTTATTTCCGGGTAACATAATGCTTCTGCGGAATTAGAACGGATGGGGCCGGCGCGGGCTCACCTTTGCTGCATCAAAAAGGAGTCGTGCATTTGCGCGTGCGCGCATTTACTCATGAGTATCCCCCCCCTCGGATTCTATTCGCATCCACATGATGTTAATTATATAACACGTACGGCGGATCAACCAGCGTCAAGAGATCATTCGCGCAGGTATGACAAGTCCCGTGTGCGCATGAAAGGGATGGGTAGTTGACGTCATGGAAAGGTTTTGCCATTTTTCTGTTTTTTATTTTATTATTTTTTTTATTTTTTTAATTTTTTTTTTTTTTT